TACGTATCTCTACAGTGCTTCATTCAGGCCTTCATATTCTATGTGAACTGCTACAATAACCTACAACTGATCTCATGGAGTCCTGCCCTGTACCCCTTAAATCAAAGTCTCTACTTCTACCTTGGCACTCTAAGATACAAACCTAACCTTATCATTCTGGATAAAAAAAATCTTCAGTGGTGTGAAGGATCAAGTCCAAGCTCTCTTAACACAGCATACAAGGTTTTTCTAGAATGTTTTTCCCCCAAATAGCTACATGGCTTCCTCTCTCCCTTCTAGGGGACTTAGAATGGACAGTGTGGCCTGTATTCAGGTCCCTATTCAAATGTGACTTCATCAGAGAGACCTTTCCCTGACCAACTATCTAAAACAGTAACACCTCCCACCTTCATTACCTCAACCCCCTTACTCCACTTTATTTTCCTTAGAGATACTAAACAATACTTAATGTATTATAAATGTATTTTTGTTACCTTATTAAAAGTTCATTCTAAATCTAGACCACAGAGCAAGGTCTAGCACTTAGTAGGTGGTCAAAAAACACTAGTTAAATGAAGTCATGTCTATCTCTTCACTTTTCTCTCCCAGTGCGGTAAACCCTCATTGCTTATAGTTCCTGTACTCTGCAATCACATTGTATACTATCTTGGAAATCTTTATCCTGTTGCTTTGGCCAAGACAGCATTTTCCCCTCTTCTTCGCCTGACTCCTACTCACCTCTCAAAAACTCACTTCAGGTGTCATTTCCTTCTGAAGGCCCTCTGACCCTTCTCCACCCAGTACAAATATTTATACTGGCACTTAGTAGTTTATAGCTTATTTCTTGTATCTTATTTCTTATATTTTAATTAACTCACTAATTAATAAGTGAAATAGTTTAGTTTCTTCTAAAGTATCATGAAGTTATCTCTTTATGTATCCTTGTTTCCTCATTGTTTTATAAATTCCTTGAGGGCAAGGATTATGTTTTATTCAGCTTTATTCTGTGGGCCTAGCATAGCAGTAAAGACTGCCTACTGAAATGAATGTATTATCAAAAAAGCTCATTCTAGGGGCGCCTGGGTGGCTCAGTGGATTAAGCCTCTGCCTTCGGCTCAGGTCATGATCTCAGGGTCCTGGGATCGAGCCCTGCATGGGGCTCTCTGCTCAGCAGGGAGTCTGCTTCCCACCCACCCACCCCCCACCGTCTGCCTCTCTGCCTACTTATGATCTCTCTCTCTATCAAATAAATAAAATCTTAAAAAAAAAAACAAAACTCTTTCTAATGGGAAAAGCAAAATTCATGCTCTAGGGAAGGTAAATTAGTAAATCAAGGATAACATGTTATTTCTTACAAAGTCTTGGGCTCCCTAGCATATTGGCAATATAGATACACATTAAAAAAAAAAAAATTAACATTGATAACTGCTCTCGCAGAGACTAAAATCAGCCAGAGAAAACAAAATGATTCCACGTAAGGTAGCAGAAACACGTGTTAAACATTCTATAATTGAAAAAATGGGGGGTGCCTGGGCAGCTCAGTGGGTTAAGCTCCTGCCTTCAATTAAGGTCATGGTCTCAGGGTCCTGGGATCCAGCCCTGCATCAGGCTCTCTGCTCGGCGGGGAGCCTGATTCCCCCTCTCTCTGCCTACTTGCGATCTCTGTCAAATAAATAAAATCTCTTTTTAAAAATGGAAAACAGGGACGCCTGGGTGGCTCAGTGGGTTAAAGCCTCTGCCTTCGGCTCAGGTCATGATCCCAGAGTCCTGGGATCGAGCCCCGCATCGGGCTCTCTGCTCAGCAGGGAGCCTGCTTCCTCCTTTCTCCCTCTGCCTGCCTCTCTGCCTACTTGTAATCTCTGCCTGTCAAATAAATAAAATCTTTAAAAAAAATAAAAATAAAAATGGAAAACAGAGGAGGGGTATTAGAGACTGGATTTGACTACAGACTAACTGATGGGTACAGTTAACAAGATTAATCAAAGCCTGGAAGGGGCAAATAGTAGTAGAAATAGGACGATACCTATTTCTTTGGAAAAGACTGCCTATGTAACTTCTCCCTGGATCCTATGGTTCCTTTCACTCCTCTCCTAACTTAGAGACCTAACTAACTCTTATCACCTCAACTCAGTCTGGTTCCCAGTAAAACAGCTGCCCTTGGGCTAAAAACAGATAAAAGACCTCCAACAACTCCTTTCATCCCTTACAAAGGGGTACAGTTCTTACCCCGTGGCTTCCCACCCATAGCATCTCCTCGTGCAAGTCAAAGTGGGAGACGGAGACAGGCACACCCACTTCAGCCACCACACTGTGCAATTCAGAGTAGACACCTTCCATTATGTGCACTGACTCCTGGACGGGAAGAGCCTCCAAGGCCACCCCCTCCGGATCCAGCTCCACATTCTGTAGCAGACTTGGGTTCAGATGGGCATCCAGGACAGGGTCCAGGGCAGAATGCATGGCTGGGGCATACTCTGCCAGTCCAGGGTCCAGACCCTCGAAGTTCATGACGACGATGGCAGATTAGACCCTTGTCACACCCTCCCTTGCAACGGCCCCTTAAGAGGCCTGACCCAACCTTCAGCAGAACAGCACCAGTGGGCCTAGAATGGACATCCTGGCCTGCAAAGGGAAAGAGGCAGCTGAGTCAGTGGCAGGCCCAAGTATTTGTATTTAATGTGTTCTCGATTATCTGGGCAGGAGGGAGATGAGGCAGGCAGAGGTGAGAAGGCCAGGTAGGGGATGAAGCAGGCAGGAAGGGAAAGGGCAGCAGGGGTAGAGGTGGAAGTCTTGTCCCTTTTTCTCCTCTAGGCCCTCTGTACTCCCCACCACCCCCACTATCTAACTTAATACTTGACTTCCTTTCCATCTCCCTTCAGGCCTGCTCACTTGCCTGGTTCACCCCAGAACCATCAGTGGAAAGAGCAGCAACTGCGGGACAGGAGTTAGAGGGGCTAAGGTGCTTGTTTCCCAAAATGAGGGATGAGGGGTAGGGGGTTGGTAGGTGAGAACGAAAGAAGTCAGTTTCCCAGAATCCTCTGCATGTTACCCAGGATTCTCCAGGGAAAAATAAGAATGTCCAGTTACCCACATTGGGGCGGGGGTGGGGGGACATGATGAAAATGCCTAGTTACCCACAATTCTCTAGGGGAACCAGAGAAATCAATTACCCAGAATTCTTCCCAGGCAGCGGGGAGGGGAGGGATTAGGGCAGGGGTCAGATGTGTTCTTGGGATGCTTATGGGGATTGGGTCATTACCAAGATTTCTCCATGGCGGATATTTTGGAGCGCGTGGAATTAAAACGAGTAGGGGGAGAGAAAGCGCCGTCACCTCCGCGGGAAATTCCAGTTTCCCCAATTCTCCCCCGCGCCTGACGCTCAACCAAACCCTAAGGCGGAAAGGACGTCGCTCTCCCAGTCAGAGCTTCCAATCAGGAAGGGCGTGGGGCTCACCTAAGCCAATCAGAAGGATCCAGGTACAGACGGCTCCGCGAGAAGACGCGCGACGTAAGGGCTGGGCAAAGACAAGGTTACGGGCCCCCGGTGGGGACAAACGGTGTCAGACCCTAGCCGTATTTGGTGTCGTGAAACGTAGCCTTTTCTCGTTTAAGCTTTCTTTGAGCAGAACTAGAGAACTCGCTTGGAAATCGACCTTTCATACTCCCTAGAACTTTAGAAACTCTAGAATTAGGAACGCCCAAGGTAAAGTACTGGGAATCGTCTGCTGGGTATTCCCAGCGTGGTCCAGTCCACCCCCTCTGTCCGCGGTGCTCTTGTGAGCTACTCCGCCACCTTTCACCCTGTTGCCCCCGAAACTCGCCGGCATTTCCTATCATTTTCAGGCATGGGAGAGAAAAAAGGAAGCGGGAGCCAGGCTCTTAAGACGGCCCAGCTAGCCGTGGCTTTTACGATTCTGTAAGCATCCGTCTGAAACACCCATCTGTGATGATCCCTTCCCCACATGCTCCAATGATAGACCCAGGGAGCAAGACCCCTTAGCTATCAAATTTCCCTACCTCTTGAAGCTGGGCATTCTCCCTCAGAGAGGGATGAGCACAGCAAATTGGGACATTTGCTTACCGCAAACTCTTAGAGATTTAGCACCAATGGTTATTTTCAGGGATTCTTGGGGTCTGATTCTGAGCTTGAACTGCTGTGGAATGGGGCCAGGTTGTGAGATGTCTTCAGGGCGCTTTAGCGCAGTTTCCAAAGGCCGCAGAGAGGGCCTCCCTGATGGAAGGAACTTCTCACCAAGGATAGAATGTTAAAGGACTTCTCTCTCAATAAAGGCTGTTAAATACACTGTAATAAAAGGATTCCAGGGGTGCCTGGGTGGCTCAGTCAGTAAAGCATCTGCCTTTGGCTCAGGTCGTGATCATCCCATCTGGGGCTCCCTACTCAGCGGGGAGCCTGCTGCTCCCTCTCCCTTTACCCTTCCCCCCACTCATGCTCTTTATCGCTCGCTCCCACTCAATCTCTCTCTCAAATAAATAAAATCTTTTTAAAAAGAAAAGGACTTCGTAATTTAGACTTCCAGGATTCACAGGGGTCCTAGAATCGGTCAGAAGTCAAAGATGGAGAGAAAAACACCTTAATTCAGAGGGTCTCCCAAACTGATCTGGCTTCACAGTTCCTTAGATTTAAAATCTTGGGGAAAGATGGTGCTGAGAGACCTAGACAGTTTGTACACTTTGAGAGATTTCCATATTGAGGTCTCAGATTGAGAAAGACTTCACAGACCTATGGGAATTAGAGGACCCGAGATACTCAGAGATACCTGGGCTAAATGAGCTACTTTATAAAGATATTTTGTGTCTTCTCAGAGTAGTGTCCAGTGTAATAATAGAATGAGAATGCAGAATCTGAAACCAGATTGTCTGCACTGGACTTCTGGACACTCAGCTCTGTGATCTTGGGTAAATTACTTATCTGTTTCTTCATTTGTAATACAGGGATAATAATAGTAACTACTTCACTGGGTGGTTGCGGGAATGAAATGGGTTAATACATGAAAAGTGCTTAGACCAAGGACTTGGCATAACGTGAGAGTTGCATATATATTAGCCATCATTACTAACTCCCTAGGGGTACCTCAATTGGATTTGGAGTCTGGGCATCCAACTGGAAAGGCCTGCTTAGGAGTGTCTTGTGAATGTGATTTGCATAACGGTTGAGGCCCTGCTGACGTCAAGGGGTCACTACAGCTCCAGGTCAGATCTAGACCTGGAAGTAGCTCCTGCCACAGAACAGTCCCACAACCACCCCACCTACCTTGCTTCCTACCCAACTCTCGAAGCACCAGGAAGTGAAACAAAGCAGCAGAGCCCCGTGCCTCCAACTCACCCTTGTCTCTGTCATCCCAACCCCCAAGAGTCTACTTCCTCTTCCCTCTTTTACCTTTCATCTCCTATCCTTTAGGCCTTCCAGAATGGGGCCACATTTGGGAAGAAGACAGGAGATATTAAACACAAGTGAGGTGAGCTTCCCCTCCTTCCTCCCACCCCCATTTCCTTATTCCATTTGTGTCTACCATGTGTAGAAAGAGCCAAACTGGTTCCCACTCAAACTCAAATAATCTGTCCTGATGCTGGGAACATTCCATCTGAAGGATAGATTTACCACAGAGTCCTAATTTTTGAATCAAAAGTTTCATTGGGCAGTTTTGAATAGTTCTAAGGGAAGGGAGACTTCTATCAAGGGTAACTTTCTCAGAGAAGGGTCAACCTCTTGGGGAGGCTTTCAGGACCATCTGTGTGGTCAGCCATGTCCTCATTCTGACGTCCAAATCGTTCTGGGACCCTCCACTGGGTTGGGGCAGTCCCAGATTTGGACCACTCCCCACTCCCACGCCCAATCTCACATTCTCAGCTGTTTCACTGGATGTTGCATCAGGGAGAGTGATGAAATCAGTGTCCGCGGATTTTACCCATGGATGCAACAGGCTGAAGGACGGGCCAGGGTCACTAACATGGTACACCTTCAACTCCCCCAGAACTCCCGGACTTCCTAGTTGTGGGATAGGGGCTGGGTGCTAGAAGATCTAAATTTGACTCCTAGCCCTTGCTTACACCAGTATCCCCAAAGAACCAACGCCTGAACCCCACAGGTCCTATGAAACTTTCGGCCACTAAGGCTGAGGAATCAGACGGTTCTTAGCAACAACTCTGTCCCTCTTCAAGAGCCCTCCTAGCCTCCACAGCGAGCCCTGAAGAGGGAGCAGTTATACCTTATATGGCATTATATGGCTTCCCAGTTCACAAAGTCCCCTCGAATCATGAACTCTCTTCCAGTGAAAATGACTGCTCCCAAGGGAGAAAAAGAAGCCCCCTGGGTCTTAGATAGAGGGCACCAGGTGGGAATCACACTTCCAAACTGAGCTCGCTATTCTACGGGGAAATAAACAAATGCTTCTGTTTTTGGTTTTTCCTCAGGCAGGAGGTAAGGAAATTATGTGCTGGGGTGGGGGAAGGAGGATATAGCCTTGCGAGGCAAAAAGATGAGGTAAAGGTTAAACAGGAAGGAACTTGAGACTAGATCCATTTAAATATTCATTCCTCCTACCCCCACCCCCTCCACAGCCGCCAGGATTCATGGAGAACATTACACACATGCCCCATCCCAGGCCTCCAGCCACAGCAACCACACGTCTCATTTCCCTTGGAGCTGAGGCTGCATACCTGGGCTCCCCACGGAGGGGGATGATGCAGGGAGGGGAATCCCACCTGCTGTGAGTCACCTGCTGCTATAAAGGGCGGGCCTTACAATGCAGGGACCTTAAAAAGAGACTCAGAGACAAGGGGAGAAAAGCAGCAGGAAGCAGCTCAGAAACTCAGTGAACAACAGAAGGAACCAAAGCAGAGGCGCGCAGAACAGACAGCATCAGGCTCAGAAGAGAGGGAAGTGGGCAGAGATTCCACAAGGACCGGCGCGAGGCACAGAGCCAGCCAGATTTGAGCAGGCGACGGGATGCTGGGGAGCAGGGTTCTGATGCTGCTCTTGCCGCTGCTGCTGCTGCCACCGCTGCCCTGGCTGGCTGAGACCCGAGCCGTGCCTGAGGGCGGTCGCCCTGCCTGGGTCCGGGGCCAGCAGCTCTCACAGCAGCTCTGCACGCTGGCCTGGAGCACACATCCTCATGTGGTAAGTCACGGGCTCTGGTGCCAAACAGGAGACTCTCCAAGCTCTCCAAGGCTGCAGTGGAAGACTCTGTGGCTTTGGATGGAAGCTGGAGGGTCGAGGGTCATCACAGAGTAAGAGAGGAAGGGAGGTGGGGCGAGGAGTGGTGTTCCTGGGAAAGGTGTGGGCCTGAGGGTCCCAGTGGAGTTTGAAAATACTTCTCTAGGGGCGCCTGGGTGGCTCAGTGGTTAAAGCCTCTGCCTTCGGCTCAGGTCATGATCCCAGGGTCCTGGGATCAAGCCTCGCATCGGGCTCTCTGCTCAGCAGGGAGCCTGCCTCCTCCTCCTCTCTCTCTGCCTGCCTCTCTGCCTACTTGTGATCTGTCAAATAGATAAAAATCTTAAAAAAAAAAAAAACTTCTTATCTCTTCACTCTTCCCACGCCTCCTCCGTTCCAGGACTTACCAAGAGAAGAGGAAGATGATGAGACTACACAGGAGGTCCCCCGCATCCAGTGTGAGGATGGCTGTGATCCCCAAGGACTCGAAGACAACAGTCAGGTAGTAAGAGGAGGCTGGACCACAAGGAAGAGGGACTGGGACATCGTTGGGTATCATGGTGAACTAGCAAAAGTTCTGTCCTTGTCCATTCAGCTTGCTATATAACAAATACCATAGGCCGGGTGGCTTAGAAACATCAAAAATAATTTAGTTCTCACTGTTCTGGAGGCTGGAAGTTGGAGATCAGGGTGCTGGCACGGTCAGGTGAGGGCCCTCTTCCAGACTCCAGACCTCTCATTGTATCTGGCAAAAGGGCCTTGGGAGTTCCGTGGGTCTCTTTTAGAAGAATACCAGATGCGTTCAAGAGGGCCCCACTCTCATGACTTCATCACTTCTTGAAAGCCCTCCCTCCTAATACCATTATATTGGGGAGTTAGAATTCGACATATGAATTTTGTGGGGACATATTTAGCCCATAGCAATGTCTAAGAATGGCAAAAACTGGGTGGGTCTTTGGAGAATGGAGTAGGAGGAAGGGATCTGTTTTTTCACTGCTTTCTTCCCCCCACCCCAGTTCTGCTTACAAAGGATCCACCAGGGCCTGGTTTTTTATGAGAAGCTGCTGGGCTCAGACATTTTCACAGGGGAGTCTTCTTCACTCCCCAACGGCCCTGTGGGCCAGCTTCACGCCTCCCTCCTGGGTCTGAGGCAACTCTTGCAGGTATGAACCAGGGGCCTGGAGAATGGGGGCTTGCAGGTACCACAGATGAGGACTGGAGGGTGAAGGATCTCAAGTTCTCTCTGATTGTGTCCTGTGTCCTTTCAGCCTGAGGGTCACCACTGGGAGACTGAGCAAACTCCAAGCCCCAGTCCCAGCCAGCCATGGCAGCGCCTCCTTCTCCGCTTCAAGATCCTTCGCAGCCTCCAGGCCTTTGTGGCTGTAGCTGCCCGGGTCTTTGCCCATGGAGCAGCAACCCTGAGCCCCTAAGGCCAATGGCTTAAGGATGGCACCCAGATCTCCATGGCTCAGGAGGGCTGAAATCAATCAGCCCAGGCACCTGGGAGCCAACAAGTTAATTAGTCCATTAATTCTAATGAGACTTGCGTATGTTGAAAATTACCAATACTAACTTATGCTGCTGATCTAGGACCAAGTTGAGTATTTATTAAAAAGGAAGGGAAAACTTGAGATTATTTATCCTCAGGGCAGCAGTTTGGGGAGGATTATTTATTATATTTATTCTGAATTATGTACTTTTTTCAATAAAGACTTATTTATGTGGATATCTGTGTGTGATTTCTAGGCCTGGTTGGGAAAAGGAAAAACAGGGCCAAAGGACTATAGTATGCATCCTTCTGTTCTCCAAGGCTCCAGTGGAGGGGCTATATCCTCATGAGCTTCTGGTGTACGCATAAAGTAACAGGGATCTTTTTGGTCTGGATCCCTGTATAGCTGAGCAAGCTGAATGGGATTACCAAGGATTAAGACTAGGAAATTGGACCCGTAAATGTGACTGCTTTTGCTGCCTGACCCTGTGCCTCCTTACTTTCTTGGCCAAGAGTGTATTTGGCCAAACACAGGAATCCCAATCACTGCAGGATCAAAAGTCAGAGCTTTTTGGGCAGGAAGGGCATTCCAGAAAGATGGTGGTAAATCCCCCAAATTAATGGGATTCTCCCTGAGTGGTCATCTGTGAGCCCCATCAGAGGGTTTGATCACCCAAGGGGAGGTCAGCTACCTTTGGAAACAAAGAGAAGGGGAAGGCTACTGTGGTCATTCCCCGTCCTTTTCTCCATAGTCACAAGATTAAAAACACATGGGCTTTGGAGTCAAACAGACCCCGGCTAGTATCTTGGCTTTGTCACCAACCAGCTGAGTGACAATGGGCTAGTTATAGAACTGCTCACCATACACCCCAACACACAGATAGCTCCCAGCCCCCCTGGAAGAATCAAAGGGACAGAAAAACCTGTTCTAAATAGGGGGGTAAGGAGTGCCTGAGTGGCTCAGTCATCAAGAGTCTGCCTTCAGCTCAGGTCATGATCCCAGGGTCCTGGGATTGAACCCCGCATCAGGCTCCCTGCTCAGTGGGAAACCTGCTTCTCCTTCTCCCCGTCCTCCTGCTTGTGTTCCCTCTCTTGTTGTCTCTCTGTCAAATAAATAAATAAAATCTTTAAAAAATAATACATAAACAGAGGGGTAAGAAGAAAAACATCACAAGAGGGTGCCTACTCGGGTGGCTGGAAGACAGGTTGTGATTTGCTGACCTCGATTCTACATGGCCTGCCGGTGTCTCCAAGGACATCAGTCTTTGTGAGCAGAGAAGTAAAGAAGTTCAGAGAAGAAACACTTCTAGGTCAGCACAAAGTTTATTAGCCACTTCTGCTCAGAAGGGCCTCTTTTGGAAGAGGATGATTCCTCCAACATACCAGCCAGAAAACAGCCATACGTATAGGGCCTCACTTTCATTCCATCTCAAGTTATACTAGAAAAGAAAAAAATAGCAATTATCCTGGGATTCCCTGGGAATGACTAACGTGTGAGATTGTCTGGAAGCCAATGATAAACATTCAAGGTTCTAAGTTCAGGGAACGTGGTTTTTGCCCAGGTCCACACCCAAGGAATAGAAACTCTCCTTTCAGATAAGCAATATATTGTACAAAAGAACGAATGGTTATCTTAACAGAGAAATATCTAAGACCCAGGGCTTCTCTTCCTCTGTAAAAATACCAAATTCTATCTAATACTATAAAAAGTGATCCCTAAATTCCCAGCCACCCTACCATCCCTGGCCTCCAAGAGTGATTTGTCTCCTAAGCACTGAGGAAGTGGAGACTAGACAGAGTAAATTATTGTGCAAAGCTTCACAGAATATTAGATTGGCAGGATCATTTTAGGGGAAGGAATGGGTGTGGCCAGCTTGGGGGGCAGGGGAAGACACTGGTACACAAGGGACGGTTATCTCCTATTCCCTTCTGCTGAGGGGAGCTTCGCATGGTGGGCTGAAGCAGGAAGCTCTCAGTCTCGGCAGAAAACAAAGGAATTTAGGCCTTGAATCAGGAGTGAGGGGGAGAAGGAAGGAAAAGGTTATTCTAGACATGAAAGAACCAGAAGACAGAAATGGAATCTATCACACGTCTCTGTTCCCTATGGATGGCCAATGCTAGTGGGCACCACCACGTTAGCCTTACCAACTATTCAAATGTTGACATCCTCCTTTACTGGAAAGAAGCCACTCCAAGCCCCCTCAACACCGCCTAACTGTGCTGGCCTACCCTCAGAACTCCTGTACCTCCCCAAACAGCAGCTGGCCTCAAAGATCCTAGTTTAGAGCCATGGCTAACATCTCTTCTGGTTCCTTGTTGCCCCTTCCTTACCCATAGTCTGCCTTTACTTCCCATGCCCAAAGCCAGAGTTAACCAGCTTGGAACAGGTTTTCCATCCTTGGAGAGCAACACTGTGATGTGGGGGGTAGAAGGGACAAAAGATACAGGAAGAACAGAGGAAATGTTGTTCCTAGTAGTCAGAAGGGATCAAGGGCCCATCTGTGTGGAAATGGCTGGGGTGGAAGACGTAAGCCTCGTCCACGGTGTTCTGTCCAGCAAACAGAGGGTCACCATTTGTCATGATTTCTTCAATCTTCATAGTGTTTCTGAAGACTAAGGTAGTCCAAAGAAAGAAATCAGACCCTGATCTTAGGTAAAGAGTTCCCAACCCAGCAGGGAAAAATGAGGGAGGATGGCAGCAGAGGTCTGAGCAAGGCCCGAGGAGGCACTTAGGTCAGGGAAGGAGGGGGCATGTACATTTCCTAATAAAAGGAATCACAAAGGAATGAGCCTCCCTCCAAAGAGGAGCTTAGAGCTCAGCTTTTTCTATAATGGGTAAGGGAGGGCAGTTGGTAAACAGAATGTGTCCCCTCTTCCCGAGCTCTATCTCATCACTTACTTTCCATTTCGTCAGTGTTCAAGTGTCTCAAGTCATGGGGCAAATCTGCCTCTGGCACTGCCTGGGATACAGGGTCTAGAAGAGGCTCCAGCTTCAGCTCTGGTCCCATGTTTGGCTCTGGCATTCTTGGTACCACATCTAGTGTGGGCTCCGGCAGGGGCTCGAGGGCTGGCCCCAGGTCCAGGCCTGCCTCTAGCAGTGGCCCTAACTCCAGGCCTGTCTCTTGCCCTAGCAATGGCACCAGGCCCGACTCCAGCTCAGATGACTCCACCTCTGGCTCCAGCTTAAGGTCTGGCAGTTGCTGCAGCTCATCAACCTGTCTGGATACCGCAACACAGACAAAGGTGCAGAGCTGGTTGTTTAGGGGAAGTGGGGAATGGCACAGCAAGCAGAGACTATCTCTCTAGGCTAAGGAGGCAACAGAGCAGGGAGGGAGGTGGGCAGCGCCTGGGTGGCTCAGTCAGTTAAGCATCTGACTCTTGATTTCAGCTCAGGTCATGATCTCAGGATTGTGAGATCAAGCCCCAGGTCAGGCTCCATGCTCAGTGCGGCAGAATCTGCTTGAGATTCTCTCTCAGCCTCTCCCTCTACAACCCCACCCCACCCCACTGCTCACCCGCTTTCTCTCTCTCAAATAAATAAATACAATCTTTTTTTTTTTTAAAGATTGTATTTATTTATTTGACAGATGGAGATCACAAGTAGGCAGAGAAGCAGGCAGAGAGAGGGGAGGAAGCAGGGTCCCTGCTGAGCAGAGAGCCCAACACGGGGCTCGATCCCAGGATGCTGGGATCATGACCTGAGCCGAAGGCAGAGGCTTTAACCCAATGAGCCACCCAGGCGCCCCATAAATAAATACAATCTTAAAAAATAAAAATGAAGAAAAGGAGGCAACAGAGCAGAGGGCTTAAGAGCACAGGCTTTGGAATCAGGCTTGCCAGAGTTTGGGCCCTATCATTTATTGGATGGATGATCTTTAGCTTTCTAAGCCTCAGATATATCGTCAATAAAATGGGACCACCACCACCTAATAGAATATGAGAGGCACTAGGATGGTTAAATGCAGGACTTTGGAGATTCTCCTGTCGGCTTTGAAGATGCAAGCCGCCAGGAGTCCTACAGCTCCGAGAAAATTAATTCAGCCAACAATCACTTGAGCTTTGGAGAGAACCACAAGCCTCAGATGAGACCAAAGTCCTAACTGAAACTTTGGACTGCAGCCTCATGAGGCTCTGGGCAAAGAACTCAGCTAAGCCATGATCAGACTCTTGATCCATGGAAAATGTGAGATAATAAATGGGTGTTGTTGGGGTGCCTAGGTGGCTCAGTGGGTTAAGCCTCTGTCTTTGGCCCAGGTCATGATCTCAGGGTCCTGGGATGGAGCCCTGCATCAGGCTCCCTGCTCAGCAGGGAGCCTGCTTTCCCCTCTCCCTCTGCCGGCCTCTCTGCCTACTTGTGATCTCTCTGTCAAATAAATAAATGAAATCTTTAAAGAAAAATAAATAAATGGGTGCTGTTTTAAGATGAAAGAAAAAAAAAAAAAAGCAGGACTTTGGAATCTGGCAGACCTGGATCATTTATTAGCTAGGTACCAGAATATTGCCACAGTAAACCTCACGTTCTTCGGCTACAGAGGTTCATACCCATAGCTACCTCATGGGCTTAGTACGGAGATTCGATAAATCCGAAACTAAACACAGACATTTAGTCCCATATCTGCCATATGATAAATTTTCCTTAAATGTGGCTGTTATCACCTACTTGGGTGGATTCTCAAAAGGATTCAATACAATGAAAAAAAAAAAACCAACCCTGTTGTTAAAAAAGTATTTAGTACCATGCTTCAAGTAGCTGCCCAGGAACATCAGTGGTGATGGTGGGTATTAGCAGAGAAGGCCTGTAGAAACAACCTAAGGACGGCAGCAGAACACTAGAAGGGAAAGAGGATGGCAGAACCAGAAAAAAACCCTAGAGGCTCAAGAGTATGGGTTAGTAGGAGAGAAGATCAGCGAGGTGAACTGGGCAGATCTGGGTCACTCCATCAGCCAACAAGGGTTAGGGAGGATGAGTAGAGAAACACATCTCTCACCTGTTAGAGACCACGATGAGCTTATGTTTCAGGTATTTCCTCCGTTCTTCAAGATTAACTGTGGGGCACATATGCAGGAGGACAGGGACGTCAGGGGGATGGATGCACAGCCCAAGGACCCGTCATGCAAATGGTCCTGATAACCATGTCTCCCCACTAACAAGCGGCATCCTGGGCACAAAGCCTTTCACTTCTCTGGCTATCCATTTTTCCACGTCTGGAGGAAAGGTGTTGGGTTTGTAGATGCCTGAGAACCCCTGCCACCTTCCAGAGACGTGTGTCAACGCTTCTCACCTTTCTCTTGGTAGTAGCGCCCGAAAGCCTCATCCCGGGGGATTCGGGGGTAGAGGAAGCGCAGTGGGTTCTCCGGGATGTTCTCCTCGGTGAGCAGCTGGTAGTGGCAAATGATTTTGGTCAGTGGGAGAGACTGCAGCACGTCCTTGGTGAAAGGCTGCACGGAGTAGATGAGCACCCTGTCTGCAGAAGGGAAGTGGGAACAGGCAGGAATGTAAGAGGAGGTTGGGCCTGGGACGACCCCGCCCTGCCCCTCCAACCCCAAGCCTGCTGAGAGATTCCGGACAGAGCCAGGGAAGCCCAGGGCAGCCGAGGGGCAGAGCGGACTGGCTCTGGGGACCTCGAGGGCAAAGCTGCTGACCGTCATCCTGGTGTTCCACCCACGAGCAGGTAATGCCCCCTTCCGATGTTTCACTGAAGCGCAGTAAAAAGGTGCCGGACATGGTCTTCTTGAGCAGCTTGCGCTCCTGGCTCCGGCTCACGAAGCCCATGATGCATCTGAAACACAGAAAGGCTGCCGTGAGGCCCACCCGCCTCCCTGCTCCCCCGCTCTCCCTGTCTGGGGAGAGAGGGCCAGGTTCTGGGGCCTTGTTCTTGGCCAAGTCACTTCATCTTACTGACAGTATTGGTATCCGCCTTCCATGGTGGGAGGAGGTACGAGGCTTCTGCGAAGTCAC